GCGTGAGACAGGTGGTGCAGTAAAGCGTGCCCTTGCACAGGGCGAGGGCTGGGGTTTAGGATAACAGTGACCATGAGCCGTGGGGGCAGAAGCATGAGGAGCCTGCACCCCCTTTACTGGGGAGGACACAGGCACTGCCACAGGAGGCCTGACCGGGGAGGACACGGGCACTGCCAGTGGAGGCCTGACCGGGGGAGGACACGGGCGCTGCCACTGGAGGCCTGACCGGGGGAGGACACAGGCACTGCCACTGGAGGCCTGACCGGGGAGGACACCAGGGCTGCCACTGGAGGCCTGACCAGGGGAGGACACGGGCACTGCCACCAGAGGCCTGACCAGGGGAGGACACGGGCACTGCCACCAGAGGCCTGACCAGGGGAGGACACGGGCGCTGCCACTGGAGGCCTGACCGGAGAGGACACGGGCGCTGCCACTGGAGGCCTGACCAGGGAGGACACGGGTGCTGCCACTGCAGGCCTGACCGGGGAGGACACCGGGGCTGCCACTGGAGGCCCAGGCAGCAGACGGCACAGCTGCTGGGCTCGGCCCTCCGTCTGCAGATGTGGACAGAGCCCACATCCCTCAGAGAGCTGTCCTGCCCCAGAGTTGAGCCATGAGGCCAGGGCAGAGCAAGGAGCCCTAACCACAGCCATCTGTCCGCAGCCCGTGCTGGTGGCTCTCCTGAAGTCACCACGGTGTCGGCTGACCCTTCCAGTCCCAGCCCTGAAGCCAACCGTTGCAGAGCCCAGAGCTCAGGGACAGAAGGGACTCTGGATTCCGGGCTCCAGAAAGCGAGCAGGACGTGCACCTGGAGGGAAGCTGGTCCCGCACCTGCAGCCCCCCAGATGGCGAGGACCCCCTTCCTTGCGGCTCCGACCCCAGGAGCCCCGACCCTGTGTGCTCCTGTCAGAGATTCCGTTCCCATGTGAAGACCAGACTGTAATCAGACTGACTGCCCCAATGATGAAAATTCAGAAGGGTAACTCAGGGTAGCAAACGACTTTTCTCAAAATAATGAAGAACAAGAGGGAGCGTTTCCCACAAATTCTTAAAGAAACTTTTTATTTTGAGATGACCAGTAGCACACTCAGCTGTGAGGGGTGAGAAGAGCCCTCGGGCCGGCTTCCCCAGCGGGAACGCCGCACAACAAGAGCCGAGGCCGCAGGGGGACCGAAGGGCCTTCCTAATCAACGATCAGAAACAGTCAACACTCAGCAGACACAAGACAGGCGGGTACAAACCGAGACACCCTCTAAAGGTTATTTTCCCCAAACTCCCTCCTGCCGCCCCCAAATGGCCAACCTAACAGGGGAGGGATACCGAGTCACTTCCTTGCTGTGCATGAACAGAACAAAATAAAACGTCCCCCCTCCACGCTGTTTGCAGTATCCTGATTACAACTAAAACAACTTCAGGAAATCTGCACATCAACCGTTCAGGAAGCTGCTGCTGTGACAGACTAACCAGCTGCTACCGACACGGCCGAGTCACCAGGGCTGGGAGGCTTGGCCGGGCTCCGTGGGTCCCGGGGTGTCTGAGCGGTGGGCACGGTGCCCTCCAGGGTCCTGGGCTGGTGCTGGCGCTGACAATGAGGCAGACACGGGCTCTGGCCTCGGGGAGCTCACGGCCGGATGTAAGTGAGCTCCTGGAGGACAGGGAAAGCGGCTGCCACGGTCCCGGGGGCTGTCCAGGGCGGGGGCCTCCTCAGAGTGCGGCTCCTCGAAGCAGACGCCTGTGTGACGCGGTGGGGTCTGCGGACCCTTCTCAGAAGGAAGGTTTTAAATGCAAGAACCAGAACACACAAGACACATGGGGCCCAAGCTGAAACAGATCTCAGACGTAAGAGAGAACCACCTGTGTTGCACTGACGCATCCATGGCGGGTCCGGTAACCAGATAACGGGGAGGCGGACCAAGTGCAGGTGACACTGTGAGACGTCCCCCCATAAGGAGCCATGGGAGCGCACGTGCCCCGCACAGGTCCTGCCAGGGCCAGCGTGGCCTGCTGCCACCCTGCACAGTGGGAGGAGACGCTGAATTCCACCTAAAGGTAGTGGAAACAGTTGTTTGTCCTTATCCAAGCTCCAGCTCCCTGAATTTGAGACAGGGTTAGGAACAAAACCCCAGCCAGGGCCCAGCCCCCAGCCCTGAGCTCTAACACCACACAGGACGACTCGGAAAGGTCAGGCTCTCTGGGTGGGACCCCACAGGCTCCTCCGAGGAAGAGCGCTCCCTTCTCCCCTGCGTTTCCCCTGTCCCAATTCACCCGCACCCAGTCTCATTCCGCCCAGGCCTTGGAGGATACGAGGAAAACGGCTGGACCCTGTTCCCAGAAACACACACACGCACACGTCACAGGCCTCGGCCTGCAGAATCCCCACGGAGCCGACCTCCTGGTCTAGAGAGGAGGAGACGAGGGTTTCCAGGGGTGAGGTCTTGTTCCCGGTCACAGCACGAGGAGGGGGCTGACAGTGGACCCGCCTCGCTCTCCTGGCTGGACAGAGTTCAGAACTGAAAGCCAGACTCAAGGCTCAGCTCCTGGGGGCAGGAGCCACCGGCCCTGATCAGAGTGCGCAGAACAAAGGCTCCACACGGGCACAGAGCTGCTGCCCACGGCTTCACAGCACAGCTTTGTGCTCAGCGGGCTGCGTGCAACACACACCCCACGAACCGGCAAACACAACTGCGGGCCACAGAACCCCTGTGGTAGCTGGGGCTGCACTTGAGAAAGAACACCAGAAGACGTAACGCTCATGCTGCCTCTCTGTTAGCCCAAGGATTCAGATGCAAGTCTGTTATGGAAAAACCAGAAGGCACAAGATGTACAGAGCTGGGCACCAACACCAGCGGGGAGACGAACGGCCCTACAAAGCTGTTCACTTGTCCACAGGGCTCTGGCGAGCCGGGACCAACGCAGGACTGGGCTTTCCCAAAGCTGTGCTGTGACCACCTTCTCAGTCTGTATGGCGACAGCACGTCCCGAGCCAGCAGGGACAACCTCTCTGCCAGCTGGGGGACCTCGGCTCCTTGGCCCACCCCAGGCCTGCAAGACAGGGACGAGGAACATAACCCCCTCTGCCCTCTGCCAGGTGACACCACCGGTGTCACACAAGGGCCCTGTGGTCTCACCCCTCCCTCGGCCTGCAGTTAGTGGGAGCCTCCAGCCACGAGGAATGCTTCTGGACAGGAGGGGGACCTAGGCTGCCTGCCCCAGACAGCACACTCCCACAAAGATCAGATTAGGTTTCCAGAAACACAAAGTCCTGAGACACTGTGGGCTGCCATTTGCACTCAGCACAGACTCCGTCTCACAGGCCGTCTCCCCGCTCGGGCAGTCACGGCGTGTCCAGCCCCGTCCCTGGAGGGCCCCTCTCAGTGGAGGCAGACACACGGACAGATGACAGAGGAGCAAGGGCTCCTGGGAGGGAGGGGGCGGGAAGATCCCCGCTCTCCTCAGAGGCTGTGAGCTGGGAGGGGCCTGTGGGGAAGCCCCCACATTCCTGTCTGGAGGGGAGGAGCACAGCTGTGCCCATGGGGACTTGGGCCGACGGGCAGAGCCACACACGGCAATGTCGGCGAGAGCGCAGCACACGTCACTTTTCCTGCTTACCTTACAGGCCAGAGGGAGCCGGTCAACAAACAGCCCTGCTGCAGCTCAGTCCCGCCGGGAGGAGTTCCAACAGCCGCCCGTCCCAGCAGGTGCAGCGCAGTGGACCCTGACAGGCACGGGCAGGTCAGCGCTGTCACTAGGGGCACAGGGCCCGCCAACAGCACTGGTCCAAAGTGGAACCAGTCAGTTCCAGCACCCCCTCCACCAGAGCACGGTCTGGGACGGTCGTCAGGGCAGAGCGCGTGCCTGGTGCCTCAGGGGACAGGACTGAAGAGCGGGGACAGAGGGACAGCGCGAACAGGCTGAGCTGTGGCTGACGCGCTGCCTCTGAGGCTGGGGACACGGGAAGCAGGACAGGAGAGGCGTGTGGAAGCGGAGCAGACGCGGGCCTGTGGGAGGTGAGCAGCAGCACGGCGACCCCGGCAGTGGACGCGGGGGTCAGGAGACCGGGGAGGAGCACTGGCTTGGACACAACTCAAAGGACATGTTCAGACGAAAACGGTGGGTGCACGGCAGGTGGGGAGAGCACACCGGCTCACAGGCCTGGCCCACACCCATGAGCTACGCCAGGCCAACTGCTCACGTGCTGCTGAAGGCTGGGGACACAGTCCTCGGGGCTGCTGAGGTCTCAGACAAGATCGCAGACCACAATGGTAAAGGGGGGCCGAGGACAGGACGACAGTGACGACACAACACATTTCATCAGGGGAACGTCCAGTCCACAAAAAAACGAGGCTGATGAAAGGGCCACGGGATCGACTCAGCATCCGGCTGTTCCCATTTCCGGAGGGGCTACCTGACGCCCCTGAAGAAGGAGGGTCAGCGTTTCTTCTCACCAGGCCTTTACGGGAGAGTGGCCTTCACCTGTGAGGTGTCAGCAGGAACCTGGCTCCTTCTGGGAAGGTCCTGGGAAGAGGCTGCTTGGCCCTCGCTCCCTGCCTCCCTGAGACCACCCACAGCCGGGAGGCAGCCCTGGGCCCTCTGCCTTCAAGGCCTCCCATGAGCTGGCACAGGACACGAAGCCCCAGGGTACTGCCAGAGCCAGTGGACCCCACAGCCCTCCGCAGCTCCGCAGGCAAGGTGGACACTGCTGCCCTCAAGGGAAATGGGTAAGTGCTCGGCAGAAGCAGGGCCCACGTGGGGGCTCCTGCCTCCCGGGTGGGTCTTCCTGGACCTGCAGATGACAAAGGACACCTCCCCGGGTCACCCCTACCGCCCACCCTCACCGCCTCCCAGAGTCTCAGCTATGCCTTCAGGTTGATTTCGCCCACATGCAGGGGAGGCGAACAGGCCCTGCTGGCCCCCCTCTGCAGGAGTTTGTACCCCCAAGCGGAGGACCACCAGCTGGGCCCTCATTAGATCAGCCACACAGCCGCTCCCCACCTCCTTTATTACTAGTGGTCCATGCAGAGCTGGGGCCGGGCGTGGACCGTCAGTTACCGCCTCCAGGCCCCAGCAATAACTGGAGGGAAGGCAAAGGTCACACACAGTCCTGCTCAGTCGCCAACAGAAGGCACCTGGCTCTGCGGCTCCGGGCCACGCCCACCTCCTTCCCACATGTCCAATTTCCAATCTGCCTCCAGGTCATCGGTGGTGGGACTGACTGGGACTCGGAGGGTGCCTGCCTGCCTGTTGTCTTTACCTAGGAGACGCCATTCTGGCAGGCTGCCGGCCAGCACGGGCAGAGCTGGAGGAAAGTGAAGGGCCGGAGTTATAACGAGCCTGGAAATAACCTTGAACACACTCCAAATGCACTTCTCAACTTCCTCAAACCCAGCTGACAGTCACCCCTCATCTGACAGCCCTGATCTTGCCATTTTAATGAAAATTGGCTTCTTAATGCCTGAAAATCGCATTTCACAAAGACATCTACCTCCCCACCTCGGTGGAGGTGGCTGGGGCTCCGGGAGCAGGCACAGAATGCGAGCTCCCCCGCGGCGGCCGACGTTGCTTCCCTCAAAGCAAAAACAACAATTTCACACGATTTTCAGATACATTTTCATCCCGTCTCAATTCAGCAGTCTCTGGACTGCCTTCTTCTTCGGTGGCCTTTGCACCTTGTGTCACTAGAACAGAAAAGCACCGTGACTTTGGGTACAAAGTGAACAGCCCAATCTCAGGGGCCCCTTCCTACCCCACTGTCACCCCAGGCGTTGAGGGGTCCAGCCGGCCCCCCGGGCCCTGCAGGAACGGCACCACCTCTCCACCCAGACTGCAGGCCGCTGGGGTCCTGCAAAAGGCTGAGACGTGGGGGAGAAAACCAAAAGGAAACACGTTATTGGCTCAAGATAAAAAAACAGCAAAACCAAAGCAAACGCTTCATTAAACGTCTGCGAAGTACATCACTGTCCACTCCAGGAATCATTAAACGCAATTCCCCAAATCACTCCACCCCATTTGCAAACTATCTATGGGTTAGGTTTTTCTCCCTTCGCAAGAATTCCTGGATGCACACAACGAATTAAAAAGAAAGAAATCACAGTGCCAAGCAATAATCCACAAGCAAATAATTTCACAAGCGACACGGGGACCACCCCGGCGGGTCCTGCCGCAAACACCGGGATCCGATGCGCGGCGGGGGCGGGCCTTGCAGGGCAGGAAGGCCCGGGGCTACGGGGACCCCAGCCCGTCACAGCCGGAGGGCCGCACCCTCCGTGGCAGGAGGGCCGCGACGGCCGGGGGCAGGGGCGCGCTGGCCGGACCACGCCCGGCCCTGCGGACGCAGCTCGGCCCCGAGCCGCCCGCGGGAGGGTGCGCCCGGCTCGGCCCCGGGGCCGGACACGTGGGCGGCGGCGCGGGGCGCGGGGCGCGGGGCGCGGGGAGGGCCGCTCGGGGGACGCGCGGCGGGCCGGGGTCCGGGCGCAGGGCCGCCCCGCGCCGGCCCCCTCCCCGCGCGCCCGCTCCGGGCCAGCGCACTGACCTCGCGTCCAGGCCGTCGGGTCCGCCGCGCCGGCCGCAGCCCCCGCGCACTGCGCATGTCAGGCCGGCCGGCGGCTGGAACCAGATCCAGCCGGCCCCGCGCTGACGCCAGCGCGCCGGCGCGCGGCCTGTGGGCGTGGCTCGTGCGGTGGGCGTGGCTCCGGTGATGGGCGGAGCCCGGAGGTGGGCGGGGCCGGCGGCCGCACGTGGGCGCGGACCCCCTGCCCGGCCTGGTCTGTGTGGCTCGCGGAGTCAGGGCAGGATGACGGCCCGGCTAAACCACCATGCCAGGTGCCAGGTTCCTCATTGAACGAGGTTGTTGAGACGGCAAACCGGGGCTCGGGGCAACTTCTGTCCACAGCTGGGCAGCCAACTGGCAGAACAGTGGCCAGACCCAGGAGTCTCCCTGTCCCCAGGCCCTGCTTCCAACTCTCCCCACCCTGCAGTGGGGCTAGACTCCCTGGCAGCACCCCCAGGTGGGAGGCAGGAAAAGCACCTGGTGCAGTGTCCCCCAGCTGCTCCCCATTTCTCTGCCCATCACAGGACCCAAGTCTGAGTGACCTGCAGGCTTTGGTCCAGAGTGCTGTCATCCCCACGTCTCCACCACCCGCAGCAAGGAACCCTCGTCCCCTTGAACCTGGCCTGCTTTCTCCTCCCCAGGGCCTTTGCACACACCACCTTGCCTGCAGTGCTCACAGCTGGTCCTCCTCGCTTCAGATCCCATGTCGATCCTCAGGGAAACCTCTGCCTCACCTACAGAGCACCCTCCCAACACCACAGCCCCCAGCACTCCCAAGGTGGTGACATAACAACCCCCTAGAGGTCTATGATTAATGTCCAGTCCCTCCATACGGTGAGCTCCACAGGGAAAGGGCTGTGTCTGCTCAGCACTACACTGACATCACCCAACAAAAACCAGGTGCTCAGCAGAGGCTCTTGTCAGGAGCCTGCCCAGACCACCCCAGGCCTGCAGCAGGCTCGGGAGGTGCGGCTGGGTCCAGGGGGGCTGTCCTTGGCCCGTCTCACCCACCTCTCTGGCAAAGGTCAGCCGCCGGGCGTCCGGGGACGCGCTGTACTCTGGCTGCTGAGGCATGCTCCAGAAACCGTTTCTTCACTTGCCCACTGTGCCCCGGCTGGCAGTGTGGGCTTCCTGCTCTGGGTGTGGGTGTCCCAGCTGGATAAGGATCTCCAAGGGCCCAGAGCCAAGGTCCCATCTTTTTGTGCTTTTCCTCTTGGCTCTTTCAGCGCTACCCACAGGCCCATCCACACAGAGGCTTGCTCAATAGTGGCGGTGGGGACAGGCCCACAGGGACTGCAGAGGCCTGGAAGGATGGCAGGAGGAGGTCGGGTGGGAAATTGCCTGCCCACTACCAAGGCCTCTGTGCTGAGTGTGCTCACCTGCGCAACTTGTTTAATCCCTGGGATGCTGGTGTGGGCACTCCCACTCTACAGATAAGGAAACTGAGACTCGGAAATGGAAAAAAAAAAAAAGACACCACTTTCCAAGATTGCCAGTCTCACGGAATAGACTCAGTTCTGGGTTTCCTGGGTCCCGCGGGATCTGCGAGCTCATTGTGTGGTGTATCCCCCGTGTCAATCCTCTCACCCAAGAACCTCAGATCTGGGTTCTCTGCCCCACTGTCTGGTTCCGGTGACTGCATGGGCCGCCTTGGGAGACTGGACAGAGAGCAGAGCCAGAGAGAGCTGGGCTGGCGGCAGGGTGGACGGGCACAAAGGTGCTGGCTGAGGACGCCACACATGGGGACATGTGGCTCAGAGTGGGCTTCACTCCCTACTCCAGCCACCTTGTTACCCACACTTCACAGCTGAGGCAAGGGAGGCTCGGCGGGGGTGTGAAACGTGCCAGGGACCCAGTGTTCCCTCCTAGGCCCTTCTCTGCCCAGCCTGCAGGACATGCTGTTCCCCGAGGCCACATGCAGAGACCTGGGGCTGGCAGGTGGAGCTGCCCCTAGCAGTCATCTGTCCCGGGGCCTTGTCAGAGAACAGCAGGCACAGGGCCGCTCACTGCACCCCTGGGGTTCAGCAGAGGGGCCCCAAGAGGCATGGTGCCCAGTTCAGCCCCAAGAGCCTTTGCAGGCGAGGCCCAGCTGTGGAGTGGGAGAGGCCTGCCCACTGTGTGAACCGGGCAGCAGTGGCTGGCCCACCCCGCGGGAGCCAGAGACCCTCGAACCCCACCCCCAGGCACCTGAGCTTGGTAGCTGTGGTCAGGAAGAGCGAGTATAAGATGGGGGCCGGCACGCCCTCCGTGCATACTTGTGAACAACGTCTTCACACGAGACTCCCCCCTAAGAGCAAAGGACGCCGTAGGGTACATGGCAGACAAAATTGCCTGCTGCCCCATGTGGAACGTTTGTGTCCCCTCGGAATTCAGCCTGACCCCAGGGGATGGTGTTTGGAGGCGGGCTCCGGGGTGATGCAGGCCATGGGGTGGGGCCTCAGGATGGGATGGGTGCCCTGATCAAGGAGGCCCCGCAGAGCTCCCCGCCCTCGGCCACGTGAGGACGCAGCGAGAAGACAGCCGTCTGTGAACCAGGCCCTCACCAGAACCCGACCTGCAGGCACCTCGATCCTGGACTTCCAGCCTCCAGACTGGGAGAAATAGTGTCTGTTGTTTACAAGGCCCTCAGCCTGTGGTGTCTGGTACAGCAGCACCTGTCCACAGCGAGATTCCATCAGAAGACTCAGGAGAAGAATTCGGTAGGAGAGGCGGAAAGTGGGTTTATTCATATTTTGTCATTTAAAATGGTTGGGGGAGGATGGAGGTCAAGGAAAATGGCGCTGGGAAGGTGGCAGTTGAGGAGAGACCCAGAGGTGAGGGGACGGCCCTGGGATATTTGGGAAGGAGGTGGTCCAGGCAGAGGGGACAGCAAGCACCCAAGTCCTGGGGAGGGGGCACAGAGGTCCCTGTGAGCCAGAGAAGCCAGGGTGGCTGGGGCAGGGCGGGTATACAGCAACCCGGCAGGGCTGGCGTTCTGGAAATTGCCACCTTCCCCCAGAGGCACTGAGAATTAGCTTTCAAAACCAGCATGCCAGGTACTCCAAGATCACGTGGTCATCCTGAGTCATTAAGGAAAGAAGAAACATGTCTGACATAGACATCATTAACCAGAATGTTTGGTCCATCAGCGTGCCCGATTTCCGGGGCGTGCCACTTCCCGGACAACCATCGCCGGAGAGATGTGCTGGAGTTTGAAACACCCACTGGGATGCAGACAGCCGCTCCCAGCCTACCAAGCACCCGCACACACCGCTGCCTCCCGCTCAGCCCTGCCAGCAGGGACAGGCCCTCCGGGAAGCAACCTGTTTAGTGGATGGAAAGTATGTGCAGGGGGAGCGGCAGTGAAGCCCCAGCCCCGGTGAGCGGGGTTTGCTGTCAGCCACAAGCAAGAGGAAGCCAGGCGAAGTACCACTGGAGGCCGTCGCGGCCGGCCCAGCTCCTCAGCCCTCCAGAGACAGCCAGGCTCTCGTCTCTTGGCCAGCTCGACCCCTCCCTCTCTCCGGCATGGCAGGGCCTCGCTGTCACTAAGGTTGTGGACGGCCTTTGGGAGGTGGAGGCCCCAGACGCCTCCGATTCCAGAAC